TGGCATTAGCTATACTTAGGATTATCTGTAGACGTTAGTAAAAAAAAAATATACTAGGATCCAATTTTCAGATGGCGTTTCAAATTGATTGGCATAAATTTTTGACGAGTGGCAACTCTTATCCCCTATACTTATTATACTCTTTGTCGTAATCAATCCTATGATATTAATGGAATCCTGATAAATATTCTAATGAAAAATTAAAATACACACGTTTTCTACATTTTCTAATGCTGATTTTATAGATTTTCCTTTTCAGTGCAAAATGAAAATTTTTACTATGCCTAGAGACGCTCGTCATTCTTGGGTCTTGTTTGGCCGCCATGTCTGAAGTTCGTTGTGTCTTCGGAGGTCGTGTTGTGCTTCTCTTTAATGTTTATAGATTTCAGTGAATTTAGTTATTATAAGACGATGAATTTATACAAATATTAAAGAACTATGATTTAGTTTATTGTGTGGAGTGACTGTTACACTGGACCAAATCGATACATTTTACGTTTGAAGAAGTTACTCTAACATCGTATTTTTAGTTCATCCGCCATATTGGCGTTAATATCTCTTCGTAAGTCTTTTTTCATAATTTTTAGCTTTACTGGTATTAATTTGATGTATTTTTCGTACTATTTTGTTGCTGTTTTCATAGGGCTGCATAATTCGTTAAAGTAGAGTGTGCATGTTGCTTGTATTGAGCAATATATTTAACTTTATGTTCATGGCCTCTTTAAGGCAATTTTCTCCCATTTTTAGTTACTGAAATTGAGTTAATTTTATGGTATCTAATATAGAAAACCCTATCTTATATTGACTAAAGTATTGGCCATATCAAATTGTATTAAAATCAAACTTTGTTTTGTAGTTAGTTGTTTTATTGTACTTGTTCATGTTCTTATGAAATAGATGTTAAGAAACAAAGCTGTACGTTATAATTTTGTCTCGTTATCAATATTTTTTTCAAATATATATTCGTGCCGAATTTGTTATTTTTTATTGATGTTTCTACCTCTGTACCTGATACCTGTAAATCACTTCAATTTTAAAAGCTAAGGTAAAAGAATGTTCTAGAACGTTTGTACGCTCTCTGAAGCGTCATGCTGCTATGTATATTGCTGATGACTCATTTGGCCAGTTTGAAGTATCCATTTTTCACCCTTACAAAAGCTTGATTTAGTGGATGGTGGTAGTGGTACAACAGTATTGAATAGGTAAACTGCATGCTATGAGTGATTCACATGCATGATGCATGTCAACAAATTGATATTTGCAAAAGCACTTTTCCCTCCGAAGAGGCTGCATTATTTATAAAGTAGGTTACCTTGTGCATTTAGTCAACAATCAATGAAAGACCAGTCTAAAGCTTATTTTGAGTGCAGTGCATAGAGTTATTCATTTGTTCATATACATATAAATAAATGACCAAATGAAATGACCTGGCCATAAAATGCTAATAATTTTTGTTATACCAGTCTCTCTCTATATCAACCTTGAGCACAAGGTATTACATTCAAAGACCTTTCTATGGTGACAGGGTATAATGCTTTAAATATTTTTGACTCATTTACTGTGATAATGAAATGATAATCACATATAATTCAACTTTCTCTTTACTGTGAATCATAATATCATATGCATAATATTGTGAAATATAATCGGATTGAAATATGCAAGCTTCACTCATGTTTGTATGTTTTAATTATGAATACACTGTTTCCTTTATTATGAATCTATCACAAGTCCTAAAAATCTTAATATTTTGAACTAGATAATACATATAAACTAAAATACTCAAGTTCTCAAAACCAATTGCCTCGCTGCATGAGCTAAGGTATTTATTTACAAGATACAGGAAAGATTAACTCGTTGAGTACCATCATTATAGGCACAATTAACGAACAATAGGTTGCGGTCACCGGTGACTGCTGTGTGTTTGACATTTTAATAGTATTCAAAACTCTAAAAATGTATGGTAAAAGCTATACAATAGAACTTTTATTGTATGTTTACATTAGTTCTTAAAGCTTGGTTAGGTATAACAAGGTAAATCCATACATTAGCAGGTTTTAGTATTGGGATGGTTACCCAACAACTTATCAAAATGTCACTTCAGTAATAGTTTCATAATTTATAATAGGGTTCATTAGTATATAATTAGTAATGTACAAATTTCTAATTATTGGAATAAAACCAGTCTTGGTAATTACTAGTTAGGAGTGTACTTATAATAACCAAATTCACTAAACTAACTTAATGTGTATTTTGTTGCAGAACTGAAGACAGTGCTGTGAAATCAGCCTTTGGTGCTCCAATATCCTTACTTACTTCCCTACCCTGCAATCAGATGCAAGGTAACATTTAATTTAGTTTAATTTAAAGGTATTTAATTATAATTTTTATGATTGCCTATGTAATAATTATAAAACCATTGTAGATGTATTTTTTTCTTTCAACTCTTAAAGAAATATTTAGCTAGCAGCAAGATAAAATATCACTATATTTCTTTCAGGTAGGATTTTTATTTGTCTATGAATGGGATGACCTGCATCTAGGTGCACAAGCACCAACAGAATTTATATTATGATAGAATGGTTTAGTGTTATAAGAGGATTTAGCTGATGCCTCTTAGTCAGAAATTGGATGAGCCTCTTGTTACAATTGAGGTGAGAGTTTGTTAAATACTCCTTACTGTTCTAGTGTTAGGTTGGTGTGTTTGTCTACTACAGTAGTGGTGTCACTTTGGCAGGTAGATTGCTGACTCCAGCACAATGCAGCAGGCAGTCGATCCTCTCGCTACCACCAGCACGGTATGTTGCAACATCATATTCTGACTAATGATCATTTAATAGTTTTTTAATTTGGTGACATAAAACTTATGATATTCAATAATTTAATAATTAAGTTGATTACTTTTTAATAAGCTTTTAATTACACATTCGTTTAAAGCAATAACAATTAATAGAAAAACTGTTGTGACTTTATTGTTGAACTGTTTTTAATTGTCATGATACAGAAATATAATTTCTGATTTTTCACCTGTAGCCCACGGCAGAGCCCGTCAATGGCGCTCCGCCTGATGAGCCGGCTCGGCGGCAGGGGCGGATGACCAATCAGCTGCAATTTCTACAAAAGAATGTGATGAAGGCAGTATGGAAACATCAGTTTGCATGGCCTTTCCACCAACCAGTAGATGCAAAAAAATTAAACCTTCCTGTGAGTATACAGCTTAGTGAAGTCATAAAATAGTATGCAACTGTTAGTTTATGAAATTTAAATTATAATGTTTTTATGTTTTTTTTAGGACTATCATAAGATAATTAAAAAGCCCATGGATTTAGGAACAATAAAGAAGAGGCTTGAGTCCAATTATTACTATTCAGCTCAGGAATGTATTCAAGATTTCAACACCATGTTCACCAATTGCTATGTGTACAACAAACCCGGCGAGGATGTTGTAGTCATGGCACAAACTTTGGAGAAGTTGTTTCTGAACCGGGTAAGTAAAAATTTAAGTGAAAAAATTCTATTCTTTGTAGGTTTAAACTGTACTATTTATAATATGCAATCAATCAATTTAGTTTGATAGATTGAACAGTATAACCATAAGAAATTAATTTGTGTACTTATAGAGTACTAAGCTGGGCTTATCACTAACGTAATATTTACCAGACAACCTTTAACAACCGAACTACAGTGGTGTAGGTTATTATGTAATAGATTAGACTATCGATTTAAAAGAAAAATGCATCCTCAGATAGCGCAAATGGATAAGGAAGAAAAAGAAATTGAGGCACCATCGAAGGGTGGGAAGGGTGGAGTGAAGAAACGCGGCACGTCGACGCCAGGCGCAGTGGGCGCAGTGGCCGGGGCCGGGGCGGCGGGCGCGCCC